AGTCAAGACTAATTAGCGGCGGGCTGTTTGACAAAGTCCAGGTGAGAGAAAGCCAAGATTGTCATTTTTCGTGTCGTGCAAAAAAAAAAGGCAAAATTGGATTTTTTTTTTTTTTTTTTTTTAAACAAGAACGATGTAACCACGCCCGCAAACAAGAGGAGAAAGGATGTTCGATCAATAACAATTGGTCGGAGACGGTCACGTGATCTGCGGAAGAGAAGGGAAAGAAATGCTCGATCAGGAACGATTGGTCGAAGACGGTCACGTGATCTGCGGAAGAGAAAAGGAAAGAAATGCCCGATCAGGAACCATTGGTTAAAGCGGTCACCTGACATACGAGAGACTAAGAGAGATGGATGTGCGCCGCCCACCAAAGGTACTATGAGGAAGTAGGGGTGAAAAAATAATAGCGATAATGGAGAAGACAGAATTAATGCAGCTTTTGGAATTATCGAGAAAACCCTGACGCCGACCCCACCCCAGTTTGTTGCGGCGTCACAGACCCACCCCAGTTTGTTGCAGTTGCGTCAATAAAAGCAGGGCCCCAATCGACAAAAAAATCAGTTCAGCCCATCCAAGTCGAAGAAAAAAACCCTCAGACTTCCAGCCCAAGTAGATGAAGAAGAGACCAAAGCCTGAGAAGAATTGGAGACAAGACGAGAGAAGTTAAAGTTCAGCTCCGGACGGCAGTTTCCACCCCAAGGCGACAGTTGAAAATTGAAAAAGAAATCTTCCACCAAGTTGAAACAGGAAAACTACCAGCCCAAGCAGACGAAGAAGAAGAAATACAACTCAAGTCGGAGAGAAGAATCAACTGCGAATGATCGATAGAAATTAGCCCCAGTGTCGAACTGAACCACACTCCGACATACATACATGATTCTAGAAAGTAGGTAATTCGACATTTTTATTGTGTTGTAGATAGAAGCTTGGTGCCATAGTCCACAGAGCGGGTCGGGAATTGAGAACAATTTTGTTTTTTATGTAACGGACTTTAAGATATAAAAGGTTGTTACCCTTTTTATCAGCAATTTTGTTTGGTGTCGTGAGTTTTTTTTTTTATTTGTGTTTTGCCACCCCCCGTCGGACTCAACTTGTATCGGCCCAAATCCCTGCTGGTCCCGTCTGTCTAAGATCTAAACACAGCGTGGGTAGACAGACCGGAGATCGGTATAGTTGCTTTAGTGACCAGGTATTGGAAGCGAGTCGGGAAGGGCGAGGCTGGTGATCATCTGACCAAAGGGTTGGAGCGGCACGCTTGGACCCAGGAGGAGCGACCAGGAGGAGCGACGTCACCGTTGGCGCCGTAACCAAAGGATCCGACACTGGGCCAGGTGTGTAACCGTCACACTAATTAACCCATAAGAAGGGGGAGAACTAGATTCATACCTAATCAGAATTTAATAAACAGGAAATTATAACGTGGATATAAAATGGGGGATCAATTCTACATTACAACCAATATTTAAATTGATCCCTCATTTCATGACAATGGTAGTTTCTATACATTTAGTTTAGTGATTATTTACTAATTAACCCATAGCTAGGGAGAGAAGCAGTGGATTCATACCTTTTCCAAGGATATTTGCAAGTAAGTGAATGTAACAAATCCAATGGGAATTGGAACTCAGCTCTCTGATTAACAATTCCAAGCCATTATCCATTACCCCACCTGCACATACAAACTCATAGCACCTGTTAATTCCAAGTGGTCACTCATCTAGGTACTTGTCAGGCTCAACATTGCTTAACTCTGGTGGTTGTACAGAAACCAGTGTTTCAACATGATGTAGCCATAAGCTTAGAAACAAAGTTAAAAAAAAGTATTGAACTGTTAAATATTAGTCCTCCTATATGGCAGTGAATGCTGGACAATCTTCTCAAAGATGAAGAGACTTGAAGCAACAGAAATGTGGTTCTACAGAAGGATGCTGAGAATACCATTGACTGAACATGGGAGCAACAACATAGTTTTAGAGAAAAAGGAAAAAAAAAGGACTCTTACACATAACATCAGACAAGAGGTAGTTGAAATTTGTAAAGCACATAATGAGAAAAGAGGGCTTGGAAAATTTGATACTCACAGGACAGACAGATGAAAACAATACATAACCTAACTAACGAGCTTATGCAAATCAAAGGTGAAACAAGGTTTGGGAGAGATAACAAAAAAAAAAAAAATTATTAAGAGCTAAGAAGGAGTGGAAATTGTGGAGAGCCCTGATCACCAACAGCCTGGAGGGACACGGCAGAAAGAAGAAAGAAAGAATAGATTTAAAAGCAAAATTGAATTTCTTGATTGACCCTTCTACATGATGCAAACAAATGTATAAATCAGTTTTCATCTTATATGTATTTGAATTTAGATCTAAAATTTTCACTGTATAATATTTGATTGATGGAATTAAGATTCATCACTGAATTATTAAGTGCATTAACAAAGATGAAGATGAAAAATAGATATATCAATTCACCCCACCCCACACCTTTTCATACTTGGGTCAATTGATATGAGATGTCAAGTATCAAGTGAGGTTTGAAATAGATTTTTCATCTTTAATCACCTAATTAAGGATTTTGATTAAAAATTGCTTTTTACAGCATGGATAATCTTCTATAAAACACTATTTCCTCCAGTTGATTTTTCTGATGTTAAATTGTTTTTCAACTTGTGCCATTTTGTGTCTTACAAAACAGCCAAACAGATATTTTTCTACCCAAATATACTTGGCTATAGTCTCTGCCTTTACTGAAATAAGAGGACAAATACTTGTTTTATGTGTTTATGAGAGAGATGAATTTATCGATGCACAGGTGGCGCATTAGATAGTGGCTCAGAGCAAGAACAGAGTTTGAATTTGTCAAGTTCATTACATTCACTTTCGTACAATTACCATTGGAAAAGGTATGAATCCATTTCTTCTCCTCCTCAGCTATGGGTTTAATAGTAGGGCAGACTGGGCCTGTTGCCAACAAGTCTAGGAAAAGGATAACACAAAATTCAAGAGCTGTTTGGGGATCTCATGGCACACTATTTGCACTAGTTTTCAGTTTAGATGTTTCAACACAAGTGTTCGTCACTATGGGCAAAATCATATATGCAGTGTAGTCTTACTATACAATTCCGTGAGCTGAATTGTTGAACCCTCGGATGTTGAAGATGATGGGAGAGTTCATTATATATTAGTATGGACACAAATCAGCACTGCATGGTGTTTGAAAAATTGTTTTATTTGGAGGATTTTATAAATTTCAACCGAAAGCTGAACAGTTTACTTGGTCAATGAATGTCAAATGTTTCTTTATTGGGAAACAGGTAATCTTATTATTACCATAGGGCAAGAAATGTGTGCGCTTAATGGAAAGACGGGATAATAAAAAAAAAAAATACATATATTCTGTCTGTAGATAGAACTTCTTCAGGCTGTTGCAGGATGCTAGTGTGTTTCGGTAAATATAAGTCAAAATCATATATGCAGCATAGTCTTACTATACAATTGTAAGAGCTGAATTGTTGGACCCTCATTTTTTGTAGATGATGGAAGAGTCCATCATATATTGCTGTTGCATGTTGACAGCAGTGAATGATCTCAGCTCGAGAGACTCCAAACACAGAGAATATTAACTATTTTTATTATGTCGACACGTACATTATCTAACTATCCAGTGGGGGTGCACCCCTACCCCACCCCCACTCACTGGGGAGCTGTTTCAGACATGGAAGAGAACACATCTACATTGCTTGATTGGTAAGAAACAACTCACTGAAACCTTTCTCCTACCTTGTTCCCATGCCAGTTCAGCCAATCAAAATTGACTTCCCTATTATGGGTCACATCTGACCCTGGCTATCAACCTCCTGAAGTTGGAGCCAAGATATGTTTCCTCTAAAAAAAAACAAACCATTATTTAACATTAGTCTGGACATGGAAATCAACACTGGATGTAGGGTTTGTTTGTTTTACAGCATTATCAACCTCAATTCAATACTAACAAAATTTTCATTGTTGGTAATATTTTTTTCCGAAATTTTTTTTTTTTTTAAATGTATTGCTGGTAATAATTTTTTTCTTCAAAAATTTATGGCTGGTAATAATGTTTTTACAAAGTATTTCTGGTATTAAAACTTATTTTTACACTTTCATAGTGTTTTGACCCGAGTTTGGGGGTTAACTATTTGCTCATAGCTGTGACCCTAACAGATGCTACCACCCCAGGTCAGGGTGGACCTAGGAACACCAGCAATTAAGAAGTGGTTCCACAATCCTCAAAACCTCCTGATCAGAGGTCTTGCCCAGGACGTGGATGTAGTGTACCATCATACCCAGGATGGAGCAATGGATTGTGCCTGTCAGTTTTATGCCTGAATTGATCATTAAAGCATAGGTCACTACTCCTTGTGCAGCTTTCATATATGGAACTGTTTATTAGGTCTATTCTGACCTTCAAGCTTGTTTAATCTATTTCTTGTTTTTCTGTATATGTTTGACATTTTAACATGATAGATATTGACATTCTATATTACTTTAAATAAAAAAGTTAAGAAAGAACCTCCATCAATACTGCAAAGAGCAATAAAAGCCACTAGACTTGAGAAACCGTTTTCCTAAGAAGATTGTTTTAAGAAAAAGAATTTATAAATTTTAACTGAAAGTAGTAGTCCATGCAATATATATATATATATATATATATATATATATATATATATATATATAAAAAAACAGACCACTTTAAGGTACTATTACAATAATTTATTTCACCAAAATCCTTTTTGAAGGACTCCGGATCATCAGGTAACACTTCCAACAATGAAATGAAAGGAAAAATGGGATTAGAAATTGCTGGGTAGTGTAATTTTTGTAATTTAACAGGGAGGGTGATAGTTGTAGTTAACAAGACAAGGTAGAGTATAGGGAGGGGTAAATTTCATATTTCTCTTAAGCATGTTTTATATTGGGGTAGGAGGAGTGACCTAATCTTGACCTATTTGGATGGTTAACTTAATGGAAATGATATATAGGAATGGGAGGGTAGTGGGGGGAAAAGAAAAGGAAAGCTGGAAAGGAGAGAGGAGATGGACAACAGTAATACAGATATATCTAAATGAGTGTTACGGCAAAGAGAGAGGGGGAGAGGGAAGTGAATCAAAAAGGCTGTAATTTTGTTTTAACAAAATTATGTAAAAGATAGATTTCAATGCTTGATAGAAATTTAGATGTCTATATGTCTAGATGTTTATATAATTTTTATTCCAATGATGGGCTTACATCCTATTACAAAGAATCCTTCATTGCATCATCAAATTTTAGTGATATGAAACTGAACTTAAAAATCACACACAAAGAGGCAAATCTATTCATCTAACCAATATGAATCAAGTGAAACACTTTAGGGTGGGAAGGAGAATTTTTTTCTATGCCATGTTTAATTAAGATGGAATGATGCTGAATTTCAACCCCATCTTATTTATGGAGAGATGGTGGGGCAAGAAAAGCAAATGTTCGACTTAGAGAACCTTGTAATAATAGCAGGGCGTGGAGTCAAGCATCCATGAGACACAACAACAAATACTCTGTGAGCGCTGAGAAATGATAAAACTAATTGAGACAGTCATAGAGGCTAGACATGAAAATGCCTTCAAGAATAAAAAAAAAATCTTAAAAAAAAAAGCAAAAGAAAATAACAAAGTTAAACACAGAATTGGAAGTTAAAGAAAAATCCTCATCAAGAAAAAAAAAAAAAAAATGGAATCCCTCAGTAATGGAAGAGAATATAAATAGGTACTTGACCCTGAATGAAAACTGTGTGTATCTCTGGAATGGAAAGAGAAACAACATTCTGAAATGAATTGGTCAGAGGTAAATTAAACCATCAACCATCAACAAACAACAAATAGCCATTGTCCATTTTCTTTTCATTAAAAGCTTCGAAGATTGGACCAGCAAGGCTTCTGTAAGAAGAAGGTGTTTAACACTGATCCCAGATGAATTGTGTCCACAATGGACAGTAGTTATTCTGGTCAAACCAACAGAGAAATGCAGCAAAGTGAGAAGAAGGATGAAGAGGAGAGACTGCAAGAATGGGAGTTGGTCAAAATTGGATCATTCGAGTGGAGCCAATATCCCTGGGCATATACACAAATAAATCATACAAAGTTATTCAAATGAGAATAACAATTGAAAGTGAAACATGAGGATTCCAACAACAAATCAAGGAAAATAAAGGAGGAAAGGCAAAGTGAAATTCAACATCAATTGTGATTTTGATCATCTTGAATATCAGGAGAGAAACATGATATAAAGGCAGATCAAAAATAGTTTGAGTTTTTAAAGATCTTAACTCCAAAGCTTATTTCATATACACATCGAAAGATCGTCAATGATTCCACCATATTATTATATATTCAGGTGTATGGTAGAATATAATATATATAATTATAATATATAATAAAATATGTAAATGTAATATATAAATATAATTATAATATATAATTAAAATATATAATATATAAATATATAATTATAATATATAAATATAATATATAATATAATATAATATATAATTATAATATATAATATATAAATATAATATATAATATATCAGATTAATATTAGGTAAGTGAATAACAAAAAACCCAAAAATACAAACATATTTGTCTTCCACAAGAACTTCAAACTAAAGTAATATTTCTATTGATGAAATTATATTAATATCATCCTTCAATGATCCTGCGGTTGATCAGATCTCCATTAACAATCCCTTTCCACACTGTTTGGTCCTAAATTGTCATCCCCAGATCCTCAATTTTCAACCCTGAGTCCCAAGTCATGGTGTCCGGGCAAATTAACTTTCATGAGAAGACACCTTCATAAGGATGCCATTAGAAGTAAGGATAAGACAATCTTCCCATCGGCTCAATGGCAGTGACCGGCAAACTGTAATCATTTTTGTTTGAGCTTAAGAGAAATTGGTCTCAGTTCTCTGTAAATTGTGTTAAGCATTGCATGGGATCTCCAACTGAGGTTCTGGATTTTTCTAAGTAGATTTGTATATATTCTAGCCAGTCGTCTTTCAAGATGAACAGATAATGTCCAAGTTTCTGATCCATACAGTAGGACTGGTTCAATCAGTGTTCGAAATGTTTGGACTTTTAAAGAGTATGGAAGGTTTGAGTGACAAATCTTATGAAGTTTGTTAAACGCATCCCATCTAGGGGGAGGGGGAAATATAAATGTAAACATTGGTTATAATCATTTGCTGAGCAGAAATGTTGAGGATGAAGGGATGTTAATCTTTTAATCCCAAGAATGGGAAAAAAAAACAATCAGATGCAAAGGTTACTAAGAAAATAACATCATTGAGGAGATAGAATGAAAATAAAGTAGACAGAGATGATGTTTGATGTTGCACTTAAATTTTTGAAGAACATAGCTGACATGAAAGCAAGAAGCTGAAAGATTTCCACAGGTGAAAAGTGCAAAAGAAGAATCTATTAGAACAGAATGTACAGTTACACTGAGCAATTTCAACATAAAAAGGATAAGACCTAACTGCCAATCTAGCATTATGCTTAAATTCATGAAGTCAAGGTATTAAGATGAAAGCACATAAGAACTACTGAAATGAAAATATTTATAGAAAAACACAGGTAGTCTACAACTGAAGAAATGCAAGACTTAGAGTGTGGCACAGATGATAGGAATGAGGTTATATATATATAAGAAGGTTTTATTTTTTAAATTTAAGCAGTTCTTTGAACAAGATCTCAATCTGTGAAAGTAAGCTTCTGAATTTTTAACATTCTGACTAAAAGAAAGTAACTGTGTCTAAAGCTGGAAACTAAAATAACTTATTGAACAAGAGGCAAAGTTCTTCATTAATTTAGCCTAAGATGAAGTTAGCATAATGCAGTGAATGGAAGAAACTTTTTCTCCAAAACAGAACACCAAATATCAACCAAAAGATCGATGACATTTTTATTTATAGACAATTCCATCCAGAGTTTGAAGTTTCTTTGTTTTCTTTAATACACAATGGCAATTGTAATACATCTATTCAAATTGGTTACTCAATAAAATTGAAGGAAGAAAATAAAAATGGTCTCCTGCTATTTGAAGCACATGGGATCTATTTGCATTGCCTTAAAGAACTGTTTAATTTCTTGCTTCCTCGATTTGTGAGATTACAGAACAAAAATAAGAGAATTAGAAAATAAAAAATGACATCACTTCTAAGGGAAAAGATGACTTCAGATACAATGAATACCTTTAACGAAAAATAAAAAAATATATATCATTCTTCCATCTGTCCAAATCTAGCTTAGACTGATAAACAAATTTGTCTGAATTTCTGGGATCACATGATGACTATTGTCCTGATCTTTATTGTTGTTACCACACTATTTCAGCCATTATGCCCCCTGGCCTTCATCAGGTGTATACTGATCCAAGTAACCTACATAGCTTAGTGGATTAAAGAATTGGTTTGTGAATTTGCTGATATAGTAATTGTGAGTTCAATCCCTGGTTTGGACTGTGTGTACTTGAACTCAGTGGAAACAAGGTGTAAAAAACAAGAACTAGATGAAATATCCCTTGACATTAACAGTGGTATGAGAACAGTCTAACCCTGTAGATTAAATAAAGTGTTCACTTTGGAATTCCCTGTTGCTTACCCAGATTGATATACACCTGATGAAGGCTGGAAGGCACAATGGCTGAAACGTGATAACAACAACAACAAAGATGAAGACAATGGTCCACCCGTATAGAATTGATGACAAAGTGCAAAAAGGTTTTTATGTGATGTGTTTTGTCCTTTAGGACTTCATCGCATTAAAGTGATGTTTACATTGATGTAACTGCACATGCGCATAAAATGGATGGGAAACTGAAATTTGAAACTTTTCAATTTCAATTTTCTTCTTCTGGAATAATAACCCCAGGCAGATAATAGGAACTGATTAAAATTGAAATTGTCTGGGTATATATATCAAACCAAATGTTTGTCCATTTTCATTAGCAGGTTTGATAAACCTCCTGCTGCCCATTGGAATCAACTTAGTTGAAGGAGGGGAATAGTTAACTAGAGCACAAGGTTCAAACCACTGCTAAAGCAGTTGTTATGCATTATTTGTCTTTATGCTATTATATGAAATAAAACATTGTCATGAATTTGATGTATCGATGTCTTCTTATAATTCACTGTGATTTGTTCATATTAATTTTTGTTTATCTTTTTAATATTTTTATTCAGTCCTGAAACTTTGATAAAAGTCAAGTAAAACTAATTCCATATCTGCCTATATTTCTGAGATGTGGTATTATAGTTATTTACACTATTTACATTGTTCAGACTATTGTCCTCATCTTTATTGCCATATTCACTCCTTCAATATCTGTCTATATTTCTGAGATGAGGTATTGTAATTATTTACACTATTTACATTGTTCGGACTGTTGTCCTCATCTTTGTTGCCGTATTCACTCCTTCAATATTTGTCTATATTTCTGAGATGAGGTATTGTAATTATTTACACTATTTACATTGTTCGGACTGTTGTCCTTATCTTTATTGCCATAATCACTCCTTCAATATCTGTCTATATTTCTGAGATGAGGTATTGTAATTATTTACACTATTTACATTGTTCGGACTGTTGTCCTCATCTTTGTTGCCATATTCACTCCTTCAATATCTGTCTATATTTCTGAGATGAAGTATTGTAATTATTTATACTATTTACATTGTTCGGACTGTTGTTTTCATCTTTGTTGCCATATTCATGATGTTTCAAACATTGTATGCTCCAACCTTCTTCACAGGATTGGAATTTCAAACTGAACCTTTTATTTCATCCACTGAGGTAAAAAAACTCCTAAGCCAGAAAAACATAGAAATAAATACAATATGACCCCCAAAATCTCCTAAGTTAACCAAGCATAAAAATGAATACAATATGGGAACCATTAATATGGAGTGCTAGAAAAAAAAGCAATAACAAAAATTGCAACATGAGCTCTGGTTAAAAAAAAAAAAAAAAAGATTGCTGAGACATTAAGTTTATAAATCCCAAAAATTCATACACTGATGTCCTCAAGGTCACATGGATAAAAGTATTGGTTGGATCCAGTGACTTGATGCAAAGAGTTGTGAGTTCAAAACCTGGCTACTGCAGTGGTGAACAAAAACTTAGAGAGTTGAGTTAAAGGGAGATAACTGAGACATTCGGAAGAAGTATGACACGTGGAAGTAGAACAATCTACCCAGGTGGACAAAATAAAGGGTTCAGTGTGAAATTTCAATCACTTGTACAACAGCTGAAATGTCTTGAATATGGCCAAAGAAGATGAAGACAACAGTCCGAAGAATGTAAATAAACTAATTCCAGTATTAAATTTTATATCAGTCATAAGATGAAATACATGAAGGTATTTAGCAATAAATGTCGATATGTGACAATTCAGGGTTGTGAAGGACAGGTGAAGTGAATTCTGATATATGGGAACAAATAAATAAAGTCAATCTAGATAAACTTATGCCGTATTTGGAATCAATGCCTCAGCGTTATCCTAAAGACATTCTAACAAGATTAGCAAGAAAATTAGTGTTGATAAGTGGATGCTTTAAAACACACAGAATAGAAGAAAATATGAGAAATAACATTTGAAATTTTCCCACAAAAACAAGAATCATAATGAGACAGCATGTTGACATTAAAAATCCTAAGTTATCATGTGCAGGGCATTCAAAATGTAAGATCTAAAAAAATGGTAGACTAAAAATAACTTTGGATATGTCTAAATAACAAACTAAAAAGTTAAAGAATAAAAGATAGGACAATGTGACATAATATGGGTTATGGATGTTTGTCCAATTTTAGAACTCTCACTCCTACTAAATAATGATTAAGCTTAAAGTTTGTCTAAAAGGCTAGCAGGCAAAGACGGCAGGCACCAACTTTTGTGATGAAAAATAAAGTCAATCTTAATTCTATTTTCATTGTGTCACAAAAAAAAGGAAAATACAAAGACAAAGAATGCATTTTTCAATCTTTTTTTTATATACTATGTGACCATTATATACGAGTCAATGTGTCATAAAATGGCATTTCAAGTCATAATCAGAAATCTGTTTTAGAAAAAAAAAAAAAAAAAAAATCAATATTTTTTTTAATCAATTCAAACTGTTTTGAACACAACTAAAAATCTACTCTGACAATGAACATGGAAATAAACCTATAGACTGATTTTTTTCATATTTTTAATTTAATTTTATTTTTAATGGTGGTAGTGTAAAGGCAACAAATAATAAAAAGGATTGGAATTTGACAAAAAGTAAAAAAACTTCACTAAAAACCAGGAATGTGTCTCTTCAGCAGTGTGTGGATAATAAAATGAAGACAAAATTCAAATTGGCATTTAATACTTTGTAAAGGAAAAAAAGGGCAAAAATACAAAAAAGGAAAAGTGAAAGAGAGAAAAGGACAAAAAAAAAAGAAGAAAAGGACAAAAAAGGACAAAGAAAAGAAGAAAAGGACAAAAAAAGGACAAAGAAAAGAAGAAAAGGACAAAAAAAGGACAAAGAAAAGAAGAAAAGGACAAAAAAAGGACAAAGAAAAGAAGAAAAGGACAAAAAAAGGACAAAAAAAAAAGAAGAAAAGGACAAAAAAAAAAGAAGAAAAGGACAAAAAAAAAAGAAGAAAAGGACAAAAAAAAAGAAGAAAAGGACAAAAAAAAAGAAAAGGACAAAATAAGAAAAGAAAGAGAACACAAAAAGAAGACAAAGTTGGCTGTTAATGTTTTGAAACAAGAAAAGAACAAGAGAAAAAATTGCAAAACCTGGACAACATGTACACATCTGAAAGATTGTTTTTGTTATAATTAATCAACAACAAAGTGATTAATCCACATGATAGATAAGCAGATGTCAAAATAGACAAAATTCTCATTTGCTTTTTTGTTTTATTGACAAATTCTTTCAAGTGGTTCTTTAGTGAAGCTCATTTTTTTTTTTTTTTTTTATTATTTTGTGTAAATAAACAATGTTTTTCTACCAAGGAGAAAATGTACCTATCTACCTGAAAAGTACTATCTTGGGATCTAAAACCAGACATCTAGCACTTTGTGGTAGCAACATTTTTTTTCTTTTGTCTTTATAGATATTAGAAACAAAAAGAAAAAAAAATTCTCCATTTGCCGTTTATTATGAGAGGTGATGACAAAAATCATAGACTGACATTTAAAGTGCTTTAATAATTCATATTTTTGCTATGCAATGAAAACAGAGAAGAAGAGAAAAGACTGATCATTATCAAAGTAGATTGTTAAAAAAAATGTGAAAATTATTGTTATTTCTTAATTCTGCAAAAACAACAAATACTTGAATGATGAAAGTAGAATAGTTAATGAAACTTGCAAAGATTACGATTGTCCCTTGTAGCCATACATATTTCAGATTACTATCAGGTTTTATTATAGAAGTTTTAACAATAAAATTGGTATTAGTCAATCAATGTCTTAGTGAGATAACCTATTCCTTGCAGACACATATTAGCAAACTAATTGATGTGCCAATGTTGATTTTTTTTCTTATTTAATGCATGATTGAGATGTGCTTGTTTTATCGATGTACAGAGCAATCAGCTGCCAGAGTTAAAAAAAAAAAAGTGATGCTAATTTGGAAAACTAACTACATATTATTGACATCAATTATCTAGTCAGTGTACAAACATTAAAAGTTAGTCTGTAAAAGCTAATTAAAATACAGACGGTACAATACTGAGCTGGGTGGGTGTGGCAATATAGTGAGAGAGAAAACAAAAAGGCGTTGATAGATCAAGAGAGAAAAACAAAAGAGTTTATGATAATTGATCCAATCATCTTCAAATATTTTTCTTGATGGTCAAACCACTTTTCTTGCTTGAAATTTCTTTAATCTTTTTTGCAACATTCTTAAAGACGGTTTTCTTCACATTTTCATTTTGCTAATGTTTTTAATTTCTTAATCGTCCCATAATCTCTGTTCAAACTTCCTGTAATTTAATATATCCAAAAGGCTATTGTTGCAGCTCAACACAGCAACTCATAATAAATGTTCAAAATGTCCTCCACTTGCTTCTACACAATCATGTACCCCGGGGATCATTGACTGGTAGACCCTTTCAAATACTCCCACATGATGTCAAATGGTTGCACAGACGACCGTGGCCCCTCAGATAAAAATGCAAAGGACTGATATCAGGGGAACCTGCAGGCCATGGAACCATTCCTCCCCTACTTATCCATCTTCCATGGTACATGGCAGCCGGTGTATCACAAATAATGTGACTAAAATGTGGTGGACTGCCATCATGCATAAACTACATGTGTCTTCAACTTAGCAGGGGTACATCCTCTAGCAGGCCTGGAAGTTTGTTTGAAATAAATTCCCTGTAGACAGCTCCTGTAAAACAGGCTGGGAGAACATATGAACCTACCATGCAGTCATCTCCAACTCCAGCTCACACATTAATTGTAAACTGATGCAGGCATCTAGCCTTTATTGTACCATGGGGATTCTGATCCGCCCATATATATATATATATATATATATATATATATATATAAAGAAATATAGTTTTAAGGTTTGCTATATTTATGGGATAAAGTGCTCAATATCAGAGATAGAGCATATGTAAATATAAATATAAAAGTGAACATTGAAGTCAACACTCAAAGGCAACAGGCTGTTTCATGCTAGATGGCCTGACGATTACGAACATTATGAAACAGCCTGTCACCTCTGAGTGTTGATTCAAGGTTCACTTTTATATTTATATATTTAACACAGACAAACACTTTCTGGGATCTGGATGTCACAATTGATAAGGTAATTTAATGCCTCTCTTATCCTCAAAAATCAAAATATATTTTATATATAGAGATCAAATTCAGGTCTAGTCTGTACCATTCACTTTTACACCAATGTCCTTGTGAAGGGCATTAATCTTCTCCCCTCCATGTTATGGATTAATTAGCAAGATAGACTGGGCTCTCTAGCTTTGGGGTCAGTCTAAGGGAAACAAAACTGAATTCTAAATGATAGAGAAAGTAGTGAGAAACTACTCCACAATCTTTCCCAAGAATGTATAACAATTCACCAATAATAAAGATATCCGTGTAGAGTCAGGATTGTAAGCAACAAGTAAGTTTTAAGGAAAATGGAAACAAAAATCTTAAGGACACATGGCACCATAGATAAAAGCATTAGTTAGATCCAGTGACAGGACCCAAAGAGCGTGAGTTTAATACCTGGTTAAGGCAGTGGAGAACTTGGAGAGGGGAATTAACAGGAGATAACTGATAATTGACATCCATTAGACATGCTACGTGGAACTAGAACAGTCTACATCAGTGAGCGAAATAAAGGGTTCAGTTCGACATTCCAACCACCTGAAGAAGGCTGGAGCATACAACAGCTGAAATGTTGTAATAAATATGGCGACAAAGATGAGGACAATAGTCCAAATAATGTAAATAGTGAAATATGTCAAAGTCAGAACGATGCAGCTGAAATTTCTTGGGCATAATGAGGAAGGAAGGCTTGGAGAATTTGACACTCATAGGGTATATTAAGGACAAGAGGGACAGGGAAAGGCAGCAGGCTAACCACCTGATAAGTATGGGTGAATGGATGGTGTAACAGGGGTTGGGAGGCTTAGTAAAAGGACAAGCATTGCTAACTATTACAAGGGATAGGAGGTTGTGAAGAGCCATGCTCACTCACATCCTTAAAGGACATGTTATGTAAAGAAGTGAGGGTCATGATTATCAACATTCTGCAGGGACGTGGCATTAAAAGAAAGAAAAAAAGTTAATAAACTTTGGGAATTTACAGAAAATATACCTTGTGCATGAAAAACATCAAAGTTCCTGTCTGATGTTTGAGAATAAAGAATTTTATTACAACCTATCTTCAGGAAGAAAATGCACAAATGGAGGCTAAAGAGTTCTTAGAATTGGAATTGGTAAGAAAGAATAAGAAAACACATGAAAGGAGGTAAAATGTTCTGAGAACCGGAATTGGTAAAAAATAGAAATAAAATGTATGAAAGGAAGAAAAACATTTGAGTCAGACAACAACAAACAAAAAAGAAAATACAACTGTAATTTTTTTGTCGTCATATGTCCGACCTGAATAATTTACTAACGATTAAATTTAAAGACACAACTATTGAACTTGAGGGAAGTCTGTTGAGAGAATGGACAACAGGGGGATACCAATTAGAAGGGTAAATAAATACATAAATAAAATGAAGGTACCTCTATAATTACCATTAATTTCTATTCAACAGAAACATAGTAGAAAAAGAGAAAGAGTTGGGAGCAGAGATGCCAAAACAATGTGGACAAGATTGATTGCTTGAAGACAAATTTAAAAAGAAAGATAAAGAAAGAATAAAAATGAAAACAATCAAAGAATGAAAAATAAATTCTTTAGACAATTTTTCTTTTTGAAAACACAGAAACTCGCAAGGCCATCATGGTAAATAAAAGGTATTGAATAGGTAAGTAATCGCAGTATGTCACGTTTTGCATCACTTGACTCTTAGCAAAAAGGCTAAGTGTTCCATATGGTTTGCTGTGTACAAAAGTACATCACACAATAAGAAGCTCAGATCTTTATTCCTGATGTCATTTTCTTTTTTGGCCTTGTTTTTTTCTTTTGTTTTATCTTGACTTTAGGCTTTTTATTAGAATTATGAGATTGTAAATAACAATAATAATAATAATAAATGCTCATTGAGAAACAGAGAGAGGAAAAAAAAAAGAAGACATATACATGTTTGGAACTGAAAAATATGCAGGTGTCACAATGATGTGTGAGAAATGAATTCTTCAGGCTGAGTTCAAATTCCAAATGATGAAGATGTCACAGTCACTTTGTAATAACACTCTTTAAGAAAGGCATGACACCATCTCTCCCCCAGGTCTACACAAAAAGCAGTACAAATTGGGCTCACTCACATTGGTAGAGCAACCTCTCTAGGAGAAGGAAAACAAAATTAAAAACCATACTATTCTAGTATTTTTCTCCCCAAGAACAATCATGAGGATGCTTAAGTTATCAATGTTAGGAGAAAAAGGAAGCTGTGGAGAATTATGGTGACCCCTTTACAGAAGAGATCTTATAGTTTTATTTAATTTCATATAAGCTGAATGGTTGAATTTTAAAATAATGCAAGGTCTTAAATACACGTCTATAAATATCTAGATTCCTACATATATATGCACCCAAAAGTAAACTTATATATATATATATATATATATATATATATATCATGGTTTATGGTAGTTTCTAGGGCATATAATGAGGAAAGACGTCTTGGAAAATTTGATGCTCACAGTACAGATTGAGGTCAAGAGTGAACAGAACTTGAGAAAATGGATGGTGGAGAAGGTTTAGGAGAGATATGAAAAAGGCAAAAGTTATTAAGAGCTATAAAGGACAGGAAATTGTGGAGAGCCGTGATCACCAATGTCCTAAAGGGACATGGCACATAGAAGAAGAAAAATGAGCTTGAGTAAATGGATGGCAGAAGCAGGTTTAGGAGAGATGAAAAAAAAAAAAGAAAACAGATTTATTGAGAGCTATAAAGGACAGGAAATTGTGGAGAGCCATGATTGCCAATGTACTGAAGTAGAATTACTAGATCTACTTTAATAGAGATTCATAAGGAAAAAGCAATTGAAATTGACTACAAAATACATGGAGATTGATCTTTGTCTTCACTGATACATCCCTTGCTACCCTTGATGGGATTCAGCAGAAACTATCTTCACAACATCAGACAAAGTGGAGATAGTAGGATGATTTGT